TCCTGGTTCCTCCTCACCTCCACCCCGGCTCCCTTGGTGATTTTTGTGAATACACTTGTAAATATACTCACCTGATCCCACCGTGGATTGTTGGATTCGGATCCTGTCTCCTGTTCTCGTGCTCCTGGAACAACAACGACAAGTAAGCTTATTTTTGGATTACTATCAACATTTCCAAAATCTCCTCAAGACGATTTGTCGTTCACCACCAATCTCCTCTCTATTCCCACAGTGGATCCATCCTGAGTTTGAGTTTACCAGATACACCTGAACCAATAAATATAATTGTTTTTACCTCAAGTTGTTTAGTCCTTGCTTCAAACCGTTCGCCTTTGACATCACCTACAGACCCTAACAGGGTGATTTACACCGGTCCATAACTCGATCGGTGTGCATGTAAATGCTTGATTTGTTCCTTTTTCCAACTGTGAAAATTTGTCCTGACTGTGCATGTGAAATGCGCACCCTTACGTATTTCCTTTTCCGCCTGGCTAGTGGGTAGATGCTAACATGGCGGGGAAGCAAAACTGGTTGGTGAGCGATCCTTATATTTCAAATCGAAACTTTAAAAGAGCTCAAAATTATTGTACGCCTTGACGGTCAAAATTGTAGGAACACAGAGTTATTTAAACAAGTACATGAAAAGCTGGAAGAAGCCAGGATCCATCAAACAATTGAGCAAATAAAAAAAATTGCTGGAAGTGCTTAAACTAAGTACTACAACAAGAACGGGAGAAGGGGTTCTGACCCCGCCACTTTTTAATTTTACATGTTGATGGATGAACTGATGAGAGATCGACCACTGTCCAACATGACAGGCAGCGGTGTGGATGAAGCTTTGGAGGAGGAAATATCCAACAGATCTGAGGACTACAGCCCCGAAGCTGATCAGGAACAAAGCATCCTTTTCGGTAAGATAAGACTCTTTAAGCCACATTAACCCTCTGTACTGTATTACTTGGAGTAATTAGGATACCAATATCCTAGATATCAAGAAAGCTCATCAGAGACTCTACTTCCTCAGACGGCTGAGACGAGCTGGTCTGGAAGCTCAGTCCTCACCTCCTTCTACAGGTGTGCAGTGGAGAGCATCCTGTGCTCCAGCATCAATGTGTGGCATGGAGGCTGCACAGCTGCAGAAAGAAAAGCTTTGCAGAGAGTGGTGAAGGCTGCACAGAAGTCTGTCGGAATCAACCTGCCCACCATCACAGACATCTACACCTCCAGATGCAGGAAGAGGGCTACCTGCATCATGAAGGACCCCACTCACCCAGCACACACACTTTTTGCCCCACTCCCCTCAGGAAGGAGGTTGAGGAGCATTAAGTGTAGAACCACTAGACTGAGGAACAGCTTCTACCCTGAGGCTGTTAGACTCATGAATCTCTAACTAGAATCATCACTGTGAAAAACCATATCATGTTGCTGCTGATCTGTTTCATGTTGATGTGTTCATGCGTGCACATCTGCTCACAGACTCATGTTCATGTTTGTGCTGATGTTCAATGTTTTATGTTATGAGTGCTTAGTGTATATTTAGTTGATGTTTTTCTTAGTTCATATCTTAGATGTTATTACTGTTTTTCTTATACATTTTATTGTTGGATGTAACTGGGACCCTGTGTACATAATTTCGCTCCACCACATGTACCACATGAGGTGCGAATGACAATAAAGAATCTCTGACTCTGACACTCTGATACAACAAATATGTTAAAATGTAATTATAATAAGAATTAAGAGTTGCTTGAGGGCTAGCAGAATTATACCTCCAAGGATTGTGCACAGTAGAGAACATGAGACCTATATTGTGGATCATAACACTACCCCAACTAACCAGATAATTAACCTAACAAATTTTAACATACCAGGGGCCCAGTTAGGCTTTATTTTGTTTGTTTTTCAGATGATGAGTCCAGCTTGGAAGAGGCAGCTGGCAGCAGCACACAACAGACAACAGTGACAGAAGACAGTGCTCCTAGAAACTTTCAAGAGACATGGACATCAAGGAAGAGTAAGTTGTGTGTTCCAGATGACAAAAACAGTAACAAATTTTTATACAGTGTTTAGGGAAATTGTGTTAGTACTGCATCCAAACAAGTAAGAGCGTTTTACATCATTGCAGGACCATAAGGGAACTCTGGTTATGTAAGGGCCATGCAGACTTGGGCCACCGAACATCAATCTTTCTACCAGAAGATGCAGAGTCCCAGAACAAATGGACTGAAGAACAACAGGAATGATGTCAGCAAACAGAAGAGAGTATGTTTTAGAGGTTCTTAGAAGAAAACACACTCTCAACTGAACACCTAGTGAGGCAATGTTTTGATGGATTAAAGTCCATCATGGCTCAAATGACCCCACCTCCACAGGGAAGGTCTCCAGTTCCCCCCTACCCTCAGCATCAATATCCAGGCCAAAGCCGGTCTGCTCAATTTCCTCAGAATGCAAGATACAATTCTGATTACCACCTCCATGACCTAGGTTAAAGACATTAGCTGAGCTAAACTAACCCCCACATACACCAAAAATATTAAATTGCCATTTGTGCTGCTATGATCAGTTATTAAAGATTAATTTATATGTCATGCAAAGCTGACCATCCCTCAGTTTGCGCCAAAATAAACCAGACTGTTCTACGTTTTTATTGTCTTTTTACTGAAATGAAACATAGAACAATGTGTCCTGATGCATGCTCAATAATCCAGGTAGAAAAATCTAAAAAAGTTAAATCTGGTCCTCTGGACATTCAAAAAAAAAAAACAAAGCAAATCAACAAAAAAATGTAGAAACGTTTCGTCTCTCATCCGAGAGACTTCCTCAGTCTGAGGAGCTGTAATCAGCTCAGTCTCTTAAATAGCACCGTCTCAGAGTGGATCAACCAGTTTTGCTGCTGACAACCAAAACCAGCTGATCACATGCTCAAGAAGGACCATCAGCATAACAATGGATCATTAGCACACTGATGGCTGTTTACTGTTCACAGAGGGCTGAGTGATACTAGCAATCACAGCATTGTAAGAGGGGGACAGTTGAACCCGGAGGCTCCACCCCTGTTTAATGATGGACGGTTTCTTTTCACAAAGATGGCCTCCTTTACTCCTCTCTCAAACCATCGTTCCTCTCTGTCCAGGATGTGAACATCTTCATCCCTGAAAGAGTGACCGCTGGCCTGGAGATGAGTGTAGACCTCAGAGTCCTGGCCTGATGATGTTGATCTTCTGTGCTGGGCCATCCTTTTGGCCAGTGGCTGTTTTGTTTCCCCGATGTAAGACTGATCACAGCCCTCCTGACACTGAACAGCATACACAACATTGCTCTGTTTGTGCCGGGGGACTGGATCTTTGGGATGAACCAGTCTTTAATGTATTTTGGGGTTTAAAAGCCACTGGGACGTTATGTTTAGAAAATAAACGTCTCAGTTTCTCTGATACTCCCTCAACATATGGAATGACCACTGGTCTGGGTCTGGGTTCTTCCTTTTCACTTGTTGGCTGACTGGAGTCCTGTCTGGGTTTCTTCTCTGCTTTCAGGAAGGCCCAGTTAGGATATCCACATTGCTCTAGAGCCTGTCTTGTGTGGAATTTCTCCTTCTGCCTGGCTCCTGAGCTAGTGGGGATGCTGTCTGCTCTGTGGTACAGAGTTCTGATGACTCCTAACTTGTGCTCCAAAGGGTGATGGGAGTCAAACTGCAAATACTGGTCTGTGTGTGTGGGTTTGCGGTACACCTCAGTTTGCAAATGTCCTCTATCAGAGACTGAGACCTCACAGTCCAAGAAAGCCAACCTGTCATTTTTTACATCTTCTCGTGTGAACTTGATATATTTATCCACAGAGTTGATGTGGTCAGTAAAATGTTGGACTTCCTGAGATTTGATTTTAACCCAGGTGTCGTCAACATACCTGAACCAATGACTTGGTGGTGTCCCTGAAAAGGACGTCAAGGCTCTCTTTTCTACCTCCTCCATGTACAGGTTGGCAACAATAGGAGAAACTGGAGACCCCATAGCACACCCATGTTTCTGCCTATAATATTGCTCCCCATATGTGAAGTAGGTTGACTGCAGGCACAGTTTCAATAGTTGACACAGTTGTTCTGTAGAAAGTGTGGTCCTGCTGCTCAGAGTGGTGTCTGATTTTAAT